TCACATCGCTGACAGAAGTACTCATACTATCACATTGCTGACCGAAGTACTCATACTATCACATTGCTGACAGAAGTACTCATACTATCACATCGCTGACAGCATCTTATACGATCACACAATCTACGCCTGTCGACCGTTCACGTACATCCGCTGGAATTCCGACCTCCGCTGTCTGACATTGCCAATCCGCTGCAATCATCACCCACATATACTGATTTCCCCCCACCATGATCGCCAGGCTCGCCCCCAGAATGCTCGCCCACATGGGCAGACCCCGCCTTGCTGCCGCCTATGCCACGTCGTCGCCGCTCGCCCCGCAAACGCCCGTCGGAGGCGACATCAACAACATCAAGTCCGAGACCAACCGGCTCGAGAAAACGCTCAACAAGTTCTGGACCAATGTGGACGCGCGGCTCAACCCCGAGCTCGGCGCTTATGAGATCTGTCTCGATGGCAAGCCGCTCAAAACGCCCTTGGGCAGCAAGCTCACGATCCCCCAGGCGAAAAAGCAGTTGGCGTACTTGGTCAGCCACGAGTGGGACAGCTTGTGCGACCTCAAAATCAGGCCCAACTCGTTGCCCTTGACGTCCATGGTGTCTCGGGCCGTGGACTTGCAACTCGTGCACCAGGCCAAAGAGGTGGACGCCAACCTCGTGGCCAAAATCGGCGACTTGCAGGACATCAAGCTCAACATGTTGCGCTACTTGGACACGGACACGTGCTTGATCTTCACCACGGAAGACGACAACGAGGGCCGCTTGAGAAAGAGGCAGCTCGAGTTGTACCGCCCGTTGATCGCCGAGTACGAGTCCTTCTTCTCCGAGTTTGCCAGAAAACACCGTCTCTTGCCTGCCGACAGCCCCGGCGTGGAGTTGCAGTTCTTGGACTGCGAGACGGACGGGCTCTGCGGGAACAGCCAGAGCATCTCCACGCAAAACGTGGTGTTGCAGTGGTTGGACCGGCTTCCCATCTATGACCTCGTGGCGTTGGAGAAGGCAATTCTCTCGTCCAAGTCGTTCTTGTGCGGTGCCACGGTGTTGCGTTCCAATACCACTGACGAGAAAACCGTCCCCGACTTGTACCAAGTGAACAAACAGTCGCCGGACACGTACTTCCGCAAGTCTGTGGAGGAAATCGTGGAGTTGGGCAACTTGGAGACCATTTTCCAGACCGCCGAGTGGGGCGAGGTCGAGGACACGCACGATGTGGACAAGGCCGACTGGTTGCGCAACCTCTCGTCGGCTGCCCTTTTGTGCCGCTAGTTGTGCGGGCTGTATATAGACTCTTCATAGGGCTGCTGGAATAGAAATCTTTCCATGCTAGCTCAATGTACTCAAATGTTCGAAGCGTGTATGTGAGTAAGAGGGGGAGTATCATGGGCCAAGGTTATGATGTGTTGACCGTAAGGGTGATGGTGAGACGAGACGTTTGGCTGGCTCAGAACATGGGCTTGTGCCAGGCTTTTCCAAGGGGCAGATCTATACAAGACACCCGGCCAACGAACATTCTTTAGGCTGCTTTTCCAACAACACCAATGATTTTGATTTCTTGAAAATTAATGCGAGGGCATATATCAAAGACGTGCTGGGCCAGTTGTTGGAAGATCCTAGTACCGATATATATACGTAATATGAGAGCTTGTATTAGATGCGCATTAGAACAGATCAGCTGCGAAGAAAACCTGTCTTTCGGTCCAGTGTTTCATTTCGAGACTTGAGTGAGAACAGAGCTGGTCCAAATGAGTTGTTCAAGTATTTAAAGCGGAGACTAGTCAACACCTTGACCAGACCTTTGAGCCTGCAAGTTTGATACAGTAAGGCAGGGGCCAGGCTAAGTACAGTGAACGGGACAAACGGCTTTTGCTGATGAAATGAGTTCCATTGAGATGGCAGGTATTAAATAGATGAAGCTTGTGTAGCATAATATAGAGACTCACTATGACAGAACTGGGCGATACAATACAATCAGGATTATGAAAGTATACCGCAGAGGGTCGGACGAGATGGTGAATGAGCTCTGTGATATGTCAAAAGCTTTTGGTCAGCTCCATATGAACTGAGTTCCCTCGGCGATATGGTCGATAGCATTTCTTTGGCACGTCTTGTTGTCATGTTAAATCTCAAGAATAATCGGTTATCTCTTCACAGACATCAATATTTCGCTCAAGAAAAATCCAACAAAACATTTCCCTTACTCAGCCCCAACCAATTTTCCGTTTGAACGCTTCGGATGGTAAAATTACTTATTTTGTACCTCATCGGCATGAAATAAACATGGCATTGGTGGCAAGGAAAAGAAATATGCCGAATGCCAGAAATGCTTCGCAAGCTATTTTGAACGCAGTTACAAGTTGGGACTCAGAAAGAAATCTTGCCAACGTGATTGATGAAGGAATACAAAAAACGAGTTAACATGCCGTTTTCATTCCCCGGCAAATAGTGAGTCACTTTCTCACATGAACATTCTCTTATATTTACTATGTGTGATTAAAACATTTAAACTATAGTTTTTATGCCAAGCCTTTCACTCGGCTTTCAAGTACGTGCTTAGTCTCGGAGATTGGCCCATCTATTTCTGCTCATCCGCTCAGAACGGCCTGTACAAGTTGTCTCCACATTATCTCTTTTGTATAATACTGTGTCATCAATTTAAAAGAAGTCTCTCTTACAAAGGAAGCTTCACCAAACAAATTTGAAAAAAACTCCTGAACGAAAAACCCATAAATAAATGTATTTGAGCTGTGTCGTGAAATTTTTACTTTGAAGATACATCGTGAGCAATCTCGATGGGATAAAAGACCCCGATAGTCATGGACCAAGTCCTTCAAGCTTAGGAACACGCCATTCATTTTGGCATTAGTCAATTCTAGATGCACAAAGAAGTATTCGTGTTTCTGGATCAAGAAGTAGTGCCATTCAGGAAAGACTACTTTGCCTCTGTTTTTTGTTTCTAACAAATCAATTCTCTGTGGTGGAAAATTACAATCTCAAGAGTGTATGAGCTGTCCCGTTTCCAAGTCATCTCCGCCTTCCTTCGAATCCGCCTTTTTAATATTCCAAGCCTTAGAGCCAATTGTCATCCCGAAGTTACACATCTGTATTGCCGACTCCCCAGATTCACATTTTTCTATCAACTCTTATGTTCAGCATATTTGGCATAACAATGCGCTTCAATTATGTTCATTGAGTTACAATTGCTAAAAATGTTTTTAATAGCCTCACGTAATCTTCGGACGACCATCAAAAGAGGAAAAGTGGCAGAGACAAGGCAAAGAACACAGGATCATTGTACCTTAAAATTTTGTGTAAACAGGTAATACCAACTTTTTCAAAATCTTGGTAGACCTACACGTATTGTGAAACACTTCTGCTTGGTCGGCAAGGGCTCCCAATGATAAAAAACATTGATGTTCACTTGACGTCTAATTTGACGAATCTTACTCTCAGTGCATATATTCTTTTATTTTTGGTTTCAAAAGTGCGAGTATACAAGTTATTAAAGCTGATCAATAACCTGTACTCAACTAAAGCCGAGTGGATCTGTGAAGATAATCTCATATGAAGTCAACACCCAACCGAAACATGTAGTGCCCTGAACATTCAATATAGTAGAAGAATACTTCATTTTTAATATTAATATATACCTAATGTGGCGCACCAATTTTTTTTTGTTTTTCATTATCGATGAAGGATTTTTCCTAAACACGATTATTTGAACTCAAGTCTCACTCTTTGTGACCAACATAGCGCATTTATGAGCTGATTAAATGTTTTTTATATATATTATTTATATCGTTTTGCCCCTTTATTCAGATGAATCTACCAAAAAAAGAAAATAGTCACCTGATACGAGTAAGTGAAGTGCCTACAAGACAGCTCCTGATTTGTAGCTATACGGCTTATGAGACTGATATTTCAATTAACTCAGCACCTTCGCAACCGCTTTCGATACCGATCAGTTTGTCTGCACAGAGCTCAAAAATGTTGCTAGATCCATGCTTCAAAGTATCCCCATGAAGACAAACAGATCCATCCGATATATATGCCATGGTGAGTTTGTTCTTTGGTGTATGTTTTTTTCATATTCAATTCACATCAGCTCTGTTATCATGCAAGGTGCAAAACAATCTCACAATAAACTGACATATACTATTAATTCTGATACAAATGACTATGCAGAAATATTAGTTGAGAGCATTTTTAACTATCCAAGAAAAATAAAAGGTTAGATTGAGTATTCCGACAAGAAATTCTTTCTTTTTTGAGTCGCTACTTTCACTTGATAGACGATAGCTGTGTCGTACAAATACTAATTCCAATTTCTTGTGTGCAAAATAGTGCCACGCGAGGAGACAAAACCTAAATAAGCTTTTGAAAACCAGGAATATATTTCTGGAGCCTTTTACTCTCAAGTTCTATTCATGCGCACCTCCTAAAGTTTCTTTATTCGGCAATGACGTGTTTACTATTGTGTGATTCATATGGCAAGGGATTCACAGGTTGGAGACGAGAAAAACGTTTATTTCTGAATACCTCATGATTTTTGATGATCGAGCTAGGTGACATCTACTCTCAATCTCTTTTCATACGAAACTCATGAATGAGGTATGGTGAGAACATGGGCACACACAAATCTCTGAAGAGTCTTGAGATGGTCTGTGGTTTCTCGTACATGAGTGGAATGTTTGAATTATGAGAGTTTTCACACGCTGGGCTACCATCATTTGATGGCTGCTGTTGGTAGAGGTGAACGAAGGATGAGTTGTGATCATACAACGATTTGAGAATAACGTTGCATTTCCACTCACTGGGAAGAGAGGTACATTCTACATGTTCTGAGCCTGACTAAATATCATTGCCCGTACTCTGGTGATTTTGTCATGAAATAAACAGACCGGCGTTGTCTCTTCTGGACATATAAGCAAAATGTAGGTTGGTGGTTAAAATACCAGTTTGGCTAAATTGGAGATACAGGAGGACGACCTGGAATTCATCGAGGGTTGGTCTGGTTGTGGCGGTCAATAAACACATTTCATAGGGAGCAGAACGGAATACACGACAAAGATAAAACAACCATTGAATAGCACAACTTAGAGAAACTTAGATGTTTGTAGAGAAGGAAATCGGGGCTTTATAGCCAATGTCATCATAGGTACAATAAGTAGTATGACCCGTGTATTGGAGGACAGGCCAATCTATTACATGACAGCCACAGCAACCTGGTGAACCTGTGAAAAGCGCCAATGGGCATTCTCGCAACAACTTCCGGGTGGAGCTGATGAAGAATACACTTTAAGAGTTTCTGGTTTTCAAGGCATGGGGCTATGTATAAGGTTGTAATGACTTTTAGCAATGACTTTTAGCAATGACTTTTAGCAATTCCTTGCAGTATAGCCTTTTGAAGGTAGCGTACTAAGACTCTTCGCTAAATGGCACTGCTGGCGATTTTGCATTGTTCCCCGACTGTGAGCTGGAACAAGGGGTTGTGAGCACGAATGGTTGTTGTGCATCCTGTGGATGACATGGAAATTGGAAAAATTGTTCAAAATTCTCTCAAAATAAAGTTTATAGGTGGCCTATAGGGATGTACTGTTTGATCCTAGATTTCTCACTTTATCTCTCACCAAATATCTCTCACTGATGTCTCTTGCATAATTTCCCTGGCTTAGTTCTCCCACGATTACTCTCACTATTGCTCTCACTATTGCTCTCACTAAATATGTCTCGGTTTATCCCCCTAGCTTGTTTCTCTCCCTACTTTACTATACTACTCTTTCTCACTAAATATCTCTCACTATATGACTCTCACTACATAATGCGCACTAAGTTACTCACAGTACTTGAACGAAACAACTCTCACTATATCACATATTACTCTCACTATGTTTTTCACACCTAAATCTCACTACATCTTCCCATCTTACTTTCACTGTTACTCTCACTTTGTTGCTTTCACTAAACATATCTCACTATTATCCCTCACTATATATCTCACTAAAGATCTCTCACTAAAGATCTCTAAAAGTTCTTACATAATTTCCCTGGCTTATTGCTCTCACTATTACTCTCACTATTACTCTCACTATTACTCTCACTAAATATGTTTCGGTTTATCTCCCTAGCTTGGTTCTCTTATTGCAACTTTTACTATGTTACTCTCACTGGACTACTCTCATTATACTCTCACTAAACATCTCTCACTGTTTTCCTCTCACTAAAAATCTCTCACTACATCACTCTCACTATATCACTCTCACTATACCCCTCACTATCTTACTCTCAACACATTATTCTCACTGGATACCTCCCATTGTAAATCTCTCGCTGTAAATCTCTCACTGTATTTCCCACTGTGAATCTCTCGCTATAAATCTCTCGCTGAAAATATCTCACTAAATATCTGTTACATAATTTTCCTGGCTTGTTTCTCTCATTATTACTCTCACTAAGTATCTCTCGGTTTATCTCCCTGGCTTATTTCTGTCACTGTTCCTTTTATTGTATTACACTCACTAAACACCTCTCACTAAACATCTCTCACTAAACATCTCTCACTATACATCTCTCACTAAACATCTCTCACTAAACATCACTTACTAAACATCACTCACTAAACATCTCTCACTAAATACCACTCACTAAACATCTCTCACTAAATACCACTCACT